GCGTCTGCTCCAGCACCGTGTCAAGGAGCGCCGACGCACGGCTCTGCTCCTGCTTCACCTCCGCCAGCTGCTGCAGCACCAGCTCCAGCGTGTCCCTCTCCTCTGCCGGGGAGAGAATAAAAGGTAATTGAGCTGCTGCAAAGATCTAAAAACCCCCGTTTTTGTCTCCCTTCCCCTTTTCCTTTCCACCCCAGTTTACACCGTGGCTTTCGCTGTGTGTTTTCCTGGTGCGAGTTACCGTTCTCTAAACTTCAGGCAGTAAAACCTCAAAGCCCTTTCGTTCAATGAGCTTTTTATTGTGTCGATCAACAGGCTGAGAAAGGTTTTTTTCCTTTAATAATATACTTAATGATATCTCAAACTCATTAAGATTAGCTTCATGCGCTCCCGGTGCACATTTTAGGAACCTTTGGAGCATCTACCCAATACCGCGTGTTTTGGGAATCGAGGAGAAGGACTGAATTTAACGATTTTCCATCAAATTCAGGCTCTCACCCAGGACGCGGAGGCGATCCGACAGCTCATTCCTGCACTCCGCTTCGCACCGTCTCATCTTCCACCGCACATTCCCCACTTCTTGCGACACTGGAAGGAGGAAAAACTCCGCTTTTGACCCCATCTCGCCGCTGCCTGCGCCCCGTATTTGGAATTCTGCCCGTATTTCCCCAAAACCGCCTTTTCCTTGGCGTACCGTTCAGAAGTCGGCCGTGAATCGTCTTGAGCTCGCCAGAGAGCTGTTTATCTAAGAGGAAAATAAGAGGAGAAAGCTCAAAACAAGCCATGACCATCACCGTCCTGATGGAAAGCAGCTTTGGTTCTTTTTTTTTTGCTGGAAAAAGCACGCTGGGAAGCGCCGGGGGGAAAATCCGTGCAGGTATCGAGGGTGCAGCGGGTGCCGGGGAGCCATTTCGGGGCGAGATGTCGTACCGAGGGTGCGCTGGACCTCTGAGAGGTTGTGCCACGCCGTCGTGTGGCTGTTCTCGCTCCGCATCTGGGCTTGTTCCAACGCCTCCCATGCCGCGGATACTGGGGAAGAGGAAGAGAGCGTTCGCCCTCATTCCGGATCCGGCCCCGGAGAGCTCGCGGGCTGCAAAAGGGCCTTCAATCCTAACTTGGAGCCACGTTTTGCTCCATCTGCTGGTGGTTTTCCCCCAAATCGTGCCCACCCTGCGCTCAGCGAGGGCGATCAGAGCAAGGGACGCGCGGCGGACTCACCTCTCCGGAGATTCACAATGGTGAGAGCCATGAAGAGCACAAAGGTGAGGGCCAGAAGCACGTACAGCAGCGCGATGGCTCTCTCCGGAGACAAGGCTAGGAAGGGCAGTACTGCCAGGGGTGAAATGGGGTGAGGCAGCCCCAAATAACTCCCCCCCAACAGATAATTTCTTAAAGAAGAGCACAAAGAGGAGAGATCCCCCCCAGAACAACCTCTCAAGTGACTCCACCACCCTGTTCTTCAAGCTCAAACCTCTTTTTCCTAGATTGTGACCCAACGGAGGAACCAGGCGTCAAAATTTGGCTATAACTTCAGAGAAAGACCGGTTTAAAGAGCTGAAACCCTCCAGTTTCATGTCTCCGGATCCCCAAAGCCGCTCCCTTGCCCCGATACCTCCTTTAGGCGCTTTCCTCCGCTCTCGCTCCTCCAACTCCATCTTCTCGGCGAAATCACATTTCTCATAGGTGTCAAAGGCACCTTTGCCTTGTGACATCTCTGATCCTTTTTCTCTTGATCGCTCCGATTTATGTGGTGGGGAACACGCGTCACCTCATCCTGAGGGGGAAGGAAACGCCTGCGTTTCATAATTCTAATTCCTGGACAAAAAAAATCCGCGCACTCAGGAGTTTTGGAGCAGCTGATGCGCTTGAGCAGCCCCTCACCACGTGTCGCAGCCCCTCCCTGTTGATTTTTAGCAGAATTGGTTAAAAAACACACCCTGCTCTCCTCAAATGAGGCCGACACCTGCCTGAGGAGGTGTTTTTTGGAGCCTTCATGCCAAAACAGTGACCGGCGTTCTCCAAGGTGAGCACCTAAATTTCACTTTTTTTTGTTTGTTGGTTTGGTGGGAATTCGTTAGCATTTTGTTCAGTGTTTTTGTGATAATGTCTTGCGTTTTTAATGCGAGAAACTTAGCGTTGTGAAAATCCTCATATTTTTGGGCATCGTTTCCTTCATTCCTTCTCTGGAAAATTCTTTTCGTTGCCCGAACGCCCTCGGGGCTTCGAGCCAGGCGTCCCCTGGGCGGGCTATTGCAGTAAACGAAAGTTAGAACTTACGAGTAACTTTGGCGTTGACCAATTTCAGCCGAATTTCACAGAGGCACCCCGGGAAGAGCAAACACAGCCAAAAGTTGAACGTCCCTCACTCCAGTTCCCCCTGCTCTCCCCCTGGGGTAAGCAGCTTCCTCCTTTTGTCCGATTTCCCCTTTTTTGAGCCTGAATTTAGGGGAAGTCGAGGCCAAACTTCTCCCCGGGGTGGCCGCTCATGCCCTTGGGGCTCCGGCACTTTCCAGGAGGCAATGGAGTCAGGTTTGGGTTGAAACGCTGTGAATTCGGCCCATGCGCTCTCGCGGTGGTTTCCCTTCTCTGCTGCCAGCATGCGGTTTGTCCCGGTGGCATGGGAGAGGTTTAAAAAAAAAAAAAAATCAAGGATGGCTCTTCTTAAGCTGAAAGAATTGAAAACCGAGATAGCAGTTGAGAGGACCGAAAACGCCAGCTCCCACCCCTAAACCTCCCATGTCCTTCTCTCTTTAACCTTTTTAGGGTTTTTTTATCTTTTTATGTTTTAAATACTGAAGGTGGAGTGGCTGAAAATCCCTTTAAGCTCCCCAAAACCCCACTTCTCAGCACTGTTAAAACCATCCCCAATGGCACCTCAGCAACCCCAGGCGCTGGGGCCACCCCCAGTGTCCCACACCCCTGTCCCTGGGGACAGCAGGACTCTGTGTCCCCATATCCCTGTCCCTGGGGGACTGTCCCCACACCCCAGGGGACATTGGGGATCCCCAAGTGCCCCAAGATCTGAATCCCTGGGAAATGCGAGACCACTGTCACCCCCATTTCTGGGGAGCTGGGGTCCCTATTGTCCCCATCCCTGGGAATCACATGAGACCCCAGTGTCCCCATCCCTGGATCCATATGGGATGGGGGACCCTGGTCACCCTGACACCCCATCCCTGGGGAACTGGGGACCCCCATGGCCCCGTACCCAGGTCCCTGTGGGAATGAAGGACACTCCCCCCCCCCCCCCCCCCACACCCTCCCCGGGTTGGGGTTTTGGCCAGCCAATCCATCTGGCATGCCCTGCCGTTGTGCACACCCAGATTTGCCCATGAACTGCTCTTTCCAGTCGCCTTCTAAGCTGCATGTGGTAGGAAAGGATGGGAGCAGAACCGTCCCTGCTTTGTCCTACAGCAGCACACCCTACCTCCCCTGAGCTCAGACCCAGCCCTCCAGGGAGGGGAGACCCTCTCAGTTGCTGTCAAACACACCCACGTTGGCAGGGAAGCCCGCACAGTTGGAGGACTGCTCAGCAGCTGGGTGGAAGGGGAAAAGGGAACACGCTGCTCTTTTTCGGGCACCTCTTTACCGTTACTGCCAGCGATACTAGAAGAGAAAACCTCTCCCTCGCCACAAAATGGCGCCCACGTGCCTGGCTACCTCCTACCCAGACAGCCCCCCGCCCGCTGCCTGGGCGGCAGCAGGCCCCGCCCCAGCG